TCGCCTTGCTCTACCGGCGGCGCCGCTTACGCCGCCGCGCCCAGGTCGCGGACCGCGTGGACCCCCAACCGTTCGGAAAGTCGGACACGGGAAACGGTCCGCAAGAGACGATATCAATGCTATCCACGATTCTGAAGGAGGTGCAGGGGCTGCGGTGGCAGATGCGTGGTGGGGCTGCAGGTGCAGCTTTGGGTGGAGTGGAACTCACGCGCCCGACGGAGCTGCCGCCAAAATATTCAGTTTGATATTGTCCCCATTTACTCACAGTGAAACATTCCAATCCGTCTGAGGGATGATGGACTGAGTGCGGTCTGATTGCTTCATCACCTTATTGCTTTTCCCCAACTTGGTCCTTTCACGTTTGCGCCAAATACAGTTCTACAGGAGGATGTGAAGAGTAAAATTCGGAACCATCCACAACTTACGAGGCTGGTTCAGGCATCCCTGTCGATTCTCCACATGCCATCCATCTAAATGGACTCTGAGTAATTCACTGCATTCAGCCCCCTAATAGCCGAGGCCGTGGGTAGCTTCAGCTACATATGGCTATGCCGTCGGCTAGAGGCCTAGCAACAGCTAGCCACACGCCTGTCGCTAGCTTCGGCGAGGCCGGGCTGGGTAGCCGACGGCTAGCTGCGGCTAGCTCGTGGCTATGGGCTCGGCTAGGCGGCTCGCCGCAGCTAGCCATGCCGGCTTAGCCGCTTGCGGCTAGGGGGGCTTGAGGCTATATGGGCTCTGAACGCAGTGAATATTGTTTCTCGTACCTCGACCCGAGTTTCTTTGGGATCTACAAGGATACAGGGAGCCGTCGTAGACCAGGGTTGGTCGCCCTCTTTCCGTCCCCAGCCCATCTGTTTGTTTGAGGGAAGTGGCGGTTCGAACCCGCCCGATGGCATCCGACTGCATGTTCCAGCATAGACGCCTTTTTTTATTATTATTCCCACCCGCCAGAGCGAAGCATTCTGAGCCTCTCCCAGCCTCTGTAGTTGAATTTGAACCACTGATTTCTTGCTCAACTTCTAACCTTGCCTGTTCTCGGTATTTACGGCGATTTCTTGCATCAGCTGATCCACTGACACTGACTTGAACTCTCTCTCGGTTATTCAGTATCAGGTTCACCCGTCTTCCCGTGTATCTGCGAGAAGATAATTCTGCGAAAAAACTATAAGAAAACGTTCAAAGTCGAGTGTCGAAGTTCTATATTCCCAACCACCAGTGGCCGCAATTTATCAGTCCAGTCCATGCATCCGACTTGTTTTGACAGTAGATTCAAACCCCACTTATGCAGTATGCAGTAACATGCAAAGAAGCCGTTGTAGACCAAGGTCGGTCGCCCTCTTTCTGTGAGCAGTTGGCTCTCAAATTTGTCAGAGGGACGTGGCGGTTCAAATCCGCCCGATGGCATCATTCTTCGTCAAATTACTTTTTCTTTTTCGGTTTTCCCCTCCAATTTTCACCGCGGCCAATGGCCATCGAGTGGAAAGCCGAAGCCGAACCGTTCTGAGCATTCTTCCGTGATTATGCTCAGTTACCAACTTCAAAGTTCAAACTCAGTCGGGTCAATGCAACCCACAGTAGATTCAAACCCTACTTATTCAGCATCCAACAGTGTACAAGGAAGCCGTCGTGGATCAAGGCAGTTCGCCCTCTTTCTGTGAGCGAGTGGCTCTCAAAATTTGTCAGAGGGAGGTGGCAGTTCGAATCTGCCCGACGGCATTCTCATTCCTCGTCGAACTTCTTTTTCTTCTTCTGTTTTCCCCCACATTTTCACCTTGGCCAATGGCCATCTATTGGAAAACGGAAGCCGAAGCGTTCCGAGCACTCCTCACTAATTACAATCAGTTACCAACTTTAAACTCAGTCGAGTCCATGCAACCCACAGTAGATTCAAACCCTACTTATTCAGCATCCAGCAACATGCAAAGAAGCCGTCGTGGATCAAGGCAGTTCGCTCTCTTTCTGTGTGCTGGCCCTTCAATACGTCAGAGGGAGGTTGGCGGTTCGAGTCCGCCCGACGGCATATTTCCCTTTCGAGCCCCAAATTTCTTTTTCTTTATCCTCAGTTTCACTGTGGCCATCGAATGAGGAGCGGAAGCCGAAGCGTTCTGGGCATTTCTCAGTAATTATAGTCAGCTATCAGCCTCAAACTTGGCCCGTTTCTGCTGTTCGGAACTACAGCGCTGATATGGTACGTCCTCATGAGTCACATCTTGACCGCTGCAGGGCTGTAATAAAAAGGAAGAAGAAAAGGCCTGAGCGGGAGCGTGCCGTTTCGATGTATAAGGTTCCGACGATAGGTGGGGAGACCACAAAGCGCGGAAGGCAAGTGCGTGACAGAAGTCTCAACGTGTTTCAGGGTGTCTTAGAGAGATAGCGTGGAGGGGAAGCACACTCAAAGCTTTCACCGCCGGCAACCGGACGAAGGCGGAAAACCTGGCGCGCGGGCACCATTCTCGGACGATGAACGGCCCAAACCGAGCTTGAATCGTTGTCAGACGCCAAATAGTCCTTCACAAATGATTACACATGAAATATACAGCGCACCCAAGGGCTACAGCAGCCAAGCATTCACTCTACTCCGCCTTCTTGACCAGCTCATCCACAATCTCCACCGCGCGCTTAAACTTCGCCTTATCCTCCTCAGTCGCCTTGACCGTGCTATTGCCGCCGCCACATCCCTGTGGGCCGCCATTGTACCACTCGAGGTCGTCGCTCCCCCACGCGATGCTCGTGTCCATCCCATAGATGTCCTCGCTCCCCTTCGGGTCCTCCATGGGGATGGCCTTGAGGATCCCGTGCAGCTCGTCGACCAGCGCCTTGGTGGTGTCGTCCGAGCTCAGGGACTTTGGGCCTGCATCCTGGAGCGAAGGCGTCCCGGACGGGCGCACGGCTGCGGTAATCGCGAGCTTCGCCTCAGTCGGCGACTGCGTAACGGTGTACACCGCATTCGGGGTCGGGGGCGCAAAGCCGCCGGTTATGCCTGGAAAGAAGAGAAGTGAACATAGTGTCTTCGACTGAGCGAGAGTACGCACCGTGCTGTAGTCTGAGAAAGTATTCGGCTGGGGGCATAGTGGTGGTGGTAGGAGGCAAGAGATGTTCGTGTTCGGCACGATAACGATCGGATCCTGATTAGTCTTCATTTGGCAATCGGATCGGCTGCGGGCCGGGCTCCGTGCGACGTTGAAACTACGTCATAATTCCGTATTTTTTGCCAATTATATAAACGGCCCCAAGAGGCGTGTCCAGCTTTCCACAGTACCACTACCATGTCGCCCAAAGCCAGCCCCAAAACTACTTCAGAGCTCCCTACTTGCCCGCCCATGGCGCACACATCGCCCAAGGCACTTGTTACAGAACAGCCATCCCCAGCGCCGATGATGACCACCACTCGCGAGAGAAATGTAACACAGGGAGACGCAGCGAGACTTCGAGGCGGGTGTATACCGTGTCCAGGTATGTTTCCTCTGTCTATTGACTTCATGGAAATACTTGCTGATATCTGTTGCGACTTCTTCAGATGGCGGTTGTTGTTATATCATCCCAATTCCTTGTTGCTGTTGAGCGCGTGTGGAGAGCAGAAACCAATTCCAATCAGAGAATAACCTAGATATAATCATAATACACGCATTCCTCTACGATTTTGAGTATTGTGAAAATCTCAGAAAAGCACGAGCCTTGAAGACAAAAGAGCGTTGACCTCTTGCAGATGGTCCTCCTTGCCGCAAAAAAACCACAAGTGAAAATGTTATCAAACGATCAAACATAATTCTTTGTCCACCTACCGCACCCTCGAAGCGGGTAAAAACAGCAGGAGAGCGCTCGGTGCGCGTCGGGATTCAATATTCCAGAATCGGGTGTGTAATTGCCGAGATACCGCGTTCGATTCGTGGTCCTGCCATCCCAGTTATTTTCTGAAACATTTTTTTCTTTCTTTTCTTTTCTTGCTCCTTGAATCTCTGCTTTTCCCCTCCTAAGTCTTTTGCGCTGATACTGGGACAAGAACACGACAGTGCTAATTTTCGACCGCGCACGCTGCGCAGTGCACCGTAACTTAAGTAAATGTCGAATATCATCGCATCTGAATTCATGCCAACCGAACAGCGGGTTCTTAACAATACTCCAATATTTCCCTTGATACCCACTCTCCCTGTTCACCTGCGTTTTACAGGGGCTCAGCACAAGTGATGCCGGCGCGTTGTTGGGTTCAAATTTGATTCAAATCACAAGGACAAATCCTCGACCGCGTAACGCAAACGTCTGTTCTCAAACTATGTACAGTGATTACAGTAAATGTCGACAAGCCATGTCCCTCGTTTCCTTCGCTGGGACCTCTGCGCGCCACGAGAGCGAGATAGGGTCAGTCCGGCGGGCTATGTGTACCAAGCAGCGCTATTGACGTTCTGCGTTCATTCACGACCAGCCTGACGACAATTTAGAACCTGAATCACACATCAAGTAATAGTGGAGAGCAAACCAGCTGACTATGTTCAGCACAGATCAATGAAATACAGTCATCCAAATCTTTTTCAAGCCGTCACCAGAGACATACATGCAGGTAGATCCGTACAAGCCCATACAAGCCCTTTGAACAATGTTTTCCCTTGGAGAAAATCAACACACTTGACACCTTCATTTCTTATCGCGATCTCGCGATCGCGTAGCTGCTTTAGTGACCCTCCGTTGTGTGACTGACGCGTGGCCTCTGCACTGCATCGGGCTGTGAATGCGCTAGTCACAGCACGCGCCACCTCTTCATCCAACAATTCCCAGTCAGATTTCGTGATGAGCTTGTGCATTGCTCTGTGCAGCCCAACGAGCACGTCTCCGAAGGAGATCGATGTGGCCTCCGGGGGCACTGTTAAGTGGACGGCCCAGAATGGGATTCCCGGGTGTACGATCCGCAAAGCATGGAGTGGTGGGTGGAATGCGGGCCTGTGGAACTCCGCTTGGTCTACGCTGGTGCTCTGCGGTGGATTGCTGGCGATTCGATGCCAAGGAACAAACGCTATTGGGGCGAAATCAAAGTTGAAAACGGGAGCCGGAATATCACCGTCAAGCCAGGGATGGATCGCTGGAAGAGTAGCATTGTTTACGGAAGGGGCCTGAGGAGGAACAGGGACATGGTTCATCATGGGTGCTGATGAGCGGTCATGCTCCCGGATCTCGTCCTCTCTCGGAGGCCCCGACCAGTAAATAAAACGCGAGGTGTCCCAGTTTTCGCCTCTCAGGTCAACAGTGCCAAGCCTGGGGAGGCCAGGCTCGAGTGCACTATCTACATCGATCGTGTTGCATGGCAGTCTTCGCTGTATGTCGGGAATGGAAGGGAGCAGTGGCCATTCTTGAAGAGAACGGCGAAATTTGGCACTGTATGTTTCGTCCCAGTCCGGCAGAGATTGCTTGACTTTCGCCCGAATCGGCTGCCTCGTCAGTCGCTGCAATGTAGCAGTCATCGTGGGCCTCTGGTCGGTTTTCCGGTGCCAGCAGTCCTCAAGTAGGATCCAGAGGCCCGAAGAGATCACTTCAAGTTTTGAGGGACGGGCCCTTTCCACTGTCACTTTGTAAACAATCGCCGCCTCGTTGGATATTTCGAAGAATGGCACTTTTCCTGTTAATATCTAACTTGATGTTGATTTCAAAAGGACTAAAAGCGGCCATAACTTTGACGGACCTCGTAGCACACACAAGCAAACGCATAAACATCCGATCCAAAGTGGTTGGAACACTCATTCGATAATAATTCCGGTGCTTGATATCGTAGAGTGCCTGCCCGACCACTGTGACTCGAGAACGTCAATTTCAGTGACAACTCGTCCACGATGGAGGATAGCCCGAAATCGGTGATACAGGCTCTGCCTGACGGGGTAACGAGAATATTGGCCTGGAATTATGGTGTATAAGTGGGGAGAGTTCGCAAGGCACACCAAATGAGACAGCATACCGCCTTTAGATCACCATGAACGACACTTTTACTGTGCAGATACTCGAGGCCCATGGCTACATCAACAATCTGATACGTAAGGTCAACGTGATTTTTTTAGCATATTGATTGACAGGAATTCGTACCAGAGACACACGATCTATGCCGGAAGAGGAGTTGCTCAGAAAGTGCTTCAGGTCTCCATTGTCCATCCACGGTGAAATGAGACAAAGCCTATCATCAAGCATATACAGGCCGAAGAATGGCAGTAAGTTTGGATGAGAAAGCTGACGCCAAATGAGGGCCTCACGGCCGAACTTCTGAAAGAAAATGACATTGAAAACTATTGTGTGTTCACTCGAATGAGACAAACCTTCAGCGACATTCTCACATCATCTTCCTTGAATTGCCTCATGCTTTTAACGGCGACAGTTTGACCGCCGATCAACCCTTTCCAAATGTCACCGAACGCCCCACCTGCCACTTGCTGCCCGATCTTCTCCAATCCAGAGAGAGTAAAACAGGTGGGATGAAGTCCGCATGCACCGGAAAGTCTCAAGAGGGCTTTGGAAATCAAAGGTCTAGATCTCAATTCGTAGGATGAATCGAGGAGCTGATAAGATTCAGGTTAATGCTGAATGCAAGAATGATAGGGACGTACATCCTGGAGTAGATCCAAAAGTTGCTGAGCAACAGTCCCCCGACAACTCAAAAACTGTTTGTAGGTCGCAGATTCTGACAGTACGGAGTATATTTTCTTGTCAATGGAGGAAATATCGTCGGATAGTCGATCTGACAC